AAGAGTTAGTGAACAGACACAGAAAAAGACCACAGTGAAGGTGAATATTAATTTCTCTTGTAAGAAAGAATAGAAAGAATGTAGGAGTCAGGGGGGAGCCCCCCCCCCCCCCCCCACACCAACACTTTTTTTTCTTAAGAAATTATTTTTCAAACTTACCCTCTCTAATAATGCTAAAAATACTCACATTGTAATATAAAAATTCTCTTATAGTTCAACAGGCGACGTTATGATGATGACGATGATGATGATTACTAGCTAAATTTTTTAGGTAAAAGTTTATCAATGATTGTAATTTCAGACAATGTGTAGTTCCAGAAATCATCCATACCCACCCCACAGAGGAATTTGGAATTTCCGAAGAGTAGGGGGGTCAGAGAAAGAACGAAAATTACAGAGTTTGCATGGAAGAAAATTGGAATTTCCAGGGGGAGGGGGGTGTCTTTAAAAAATTCCTCCATGAGGAGGGTATGGATAATTTTTTGAACTACACAATGATTCTAAGACAAGTTGCAACATTTACTAATAAGCACTTTTCAAGATCCTGCAACCTTCACAACTTTAAATAGCCCAAGTGTCAGGCCTTCAAGGGGTCTGGAGAGGGGCCTGGGGAGAGGGGGAAGAGTGGCAGAGGAAGGCCTGACGAATCACTTTCCTTTACAGTTGCTCCCCCCCAACCCYCCAACCCCCCCCTTTCTCCTTGAGCCTGATACTCAAGCAACTCTAGATATGTGAATGAGGTTTTGGCTTCCATCATCAAAATATTACTATTTCAGACCTTGTAAATTGGAAGAAGGAACCAAAACTGGAAGAAAAGAAAAATGCTGCTTCCAGAGTTGCCTCAARATGCAGGGGTCTTTGGTTTACTGTAGAATATCAATGAAAGAGTTTACCATTTCAGACTCAGAATCTTATTGTTTGTAAAGAAGCCAAAACTCGAGAAAGCGTCATGTATCTAGTCTGAGTTGTCTGGCTCCCACAAAAATCCCATTATTTTAATTTCTGTATGTTTTTTTTTTTTAGATGTATGGCTGTGTGTGTTTTAATTTGATAAAAATATAAAGTGACACTATAAGGATGTCAAACACTTCACATACGATGGTTTGTGGATGCTGTCATTTCTCATGAAGTCCATCTTTGCCAGGAAGGTTCAAACTGCTTGAAAATAAATAATAGTAGACAGCCAGAGTAGGTCGCTATAGCACAATGGATTCTCAACACTTATTGTCAATAACTGTCTATCAAATTGGTTGATCAAATTACCACTACCATGGCCGCTGGCCCCGATCAACTTTCTTACATTTTTACTTTGAAAGAGAAAGTAAGGCGTGGAAAGAATCCCATATTGAAAACCAAAGGCAAGGATTTCATCAACCTTAATCAATTTCAGTTGTAAAATTTTGAAGTTTGATAAAATGCATATCAATATGCTTTTGTTGATTTTCCATTGAGATTTAGTTTTGTATGAATTCACATTTTGACTTTATTTTTGACTTTTCACAAGTGATTATGACAATTACCACTACCAATATTCCTTGCACACTTTCTTTTGTTTAGTTATTTAATACTGTGCAATAAATTTATTGTCTTACTATTCTGAAAAAATAAAAAAAAGAACATTTAAAAAATCAGGCTCAAAAGCTGGGGCACATTAAAGAGTGCAGGGGTCATCTTTTTATTCAACAATGAAGGGGGGTTAACAATGGAGTGGGTCAACAATTGAGGGGGTCAACAATGGAGGGGGGTCATATTCCTTGTCAGGGTCGCCAAGGTAAGCAAATCCCACCGTTCTTGCACCTTCCTGATAAAGGCATGGGTAATCCCCCAACAAAATCCTTCRTTCCCCTCCCCGGGCGATAAGTAATGACCTGTCCGACGACCTGTCCCTTTCCGAGAAGAGATGAAAAGAAGACAGAACAAGGTTGGGTTTCCTGTGTCATGACATTGGGATCCCTGTGTTACGCCAAGATGGCGACTATTACAGAGTTGAAGAACGTTGCCTGTGAAGCCATTGACAAATACTCCAAAGAGCTACAAGAACTTAATAAAAAAATATGGGAAAATCCTGAGCTGAACTTCAAGGAATTCAAAAGTCATGAAATCTTGACAGAATTCTTCGAAAAACACGGTTTGGAAGTGTCTCGAAAATGGACATTGGAGACGGCGTTTGGTGCCAGGTACGGTGGAAATGAGGGTCCTTGTGTAGGGATTATATGTGAGTATGATGCTCTACCTGGGGTAGGACATGCCTGTGGACATAATCTGATTGCTGAGGCTGGAGCAGCGGCAGCGTTGGGTAAGTTAACTACTGGTGATCGACACGTTGATCCTGTTCAATATCTTACAATTCAGACTTGATTCTTTACATGGTACTTCATAGTTGTATTTTACAATACGTGGATCATCTAATACATAAATTGTCATGGGAAGGAATTAAATAATATGCTATTCACAACTCTTAAAAACACCAAGAAGTACATGTGAATACCCGGGGAGGGGGGGTACTCCGCCAGGATTTGGGTAGGGGTTCCGCTGGGATTCTGAAAGGGCTACCCTGTTTATGACAAAAGATATAATTAATTGCATTGAGTTCCTGTTTCAATCATCATGTCATCTCACGTATTGCTTTTTTT